GCTCCCTGCTGAATGGCCCCTAGTGGTAATTGATATAAAGGACTGTTTTTTCCATATTTATCTCAATCCGGCTGATTCGGCTAAATTTGCATTCTCAGTCCCAGCCATCAATGCTTGTGAACCCCATCGCAGGTTCCAATGGAAGGTACTTCCCCAGGGGATGAAAAATTCTCCTACACTATGCCAAATGTTTGTGGTAAAAGTGTTGGAGCCAATCAGAAAAAAATTCCCACAGTCAATCATCTTCCATTATATGGATGATGCATTGATCTGTGCCAAAACAAAATTGGCAGTTGAGCAAACTTTAAATTCAACAATTTCGGCTTTAAACTCTAAAGGACTGGAGGTATGCTGTGAAAAAGTGCAAAGGGAAGCACCATGGAGGTATCTCGGACTTCAAATTACTTCAAAAACTATTAAACCTCAATCAGTGGTAACTGACAAGAAAGTCCGAACTTTAAATGACCTCCAGAAATTGTTGGGAGCGATCAATTAGATCCGACCAGTGCTGGGGATCACAACTGGTGATTTGCACCCCTTGTTTGAGTTACTCGAAGGAGATGCAGACTTCTCCTCCTCCAGATTTTTAACATCAGAAGCAAAACAAGCCCTTTCCACAGTTGAAAACAAAATTTCAGAGAGACAATCTTACAGAAAGATGGAGGGACTGCCATCTTCCCTAGTTATCATCAGGGAACAACAACAACCACTGGCCATACTGGGCCAATTTACAAGTGACATCAAGGACTTCTGTTTGTGGGAGTGGATATTCCTCCCACATCAATTTTCAAAAACTATCGTGACATTGGCTGAAATGATTGGCAAATTAATCTTTAAAGGACGTACCAGGTGTTTGGAACTCAGTGGAGAGAAGCCAGGTTGCATTTACCTCCCACTGACTTCTGAACATCTGGAACAACTGCTGCAGAATTCCATAGATTTTCAGACTGCCATCGGCGGCTACCCGGGAGAAGTCAAATTTCACCTCCCGGCGTGCCAATTTCTGCAGAGATTGATCCCAATTCCATTAAAATTATAAATTGTGCAACCAGATCTTCCAATAAAGAATGCCAAAACTTTTCACCGATGGATCTGGGAGAATCGGAAATGCAGTAATTGTTTGGCGAGAAAACGGTGATTGGCAACAGAATATTCATAAAGCTCAAGGTTCTCCACAAATTGTGGAATTGTCAGCAGTTGTTTGCGCCTTCGAAATTTTCAACAGTGAACCAATTAATATCATATCAGATTCAGCATACGTTGCGGGCATTGTCAAAAGAATCGAAAATTCGTACTTAAAAGAAGTTTCAAATGAAAAATTGTTCAATCTGTTAAAAAATTTGTTATTCTTAATTCAAGACAGGAAATTTGGCTACTATATTGTCCACACGAGGTCTCACACTACTTTGCCAGGTCCTGTGGCGGAGGGGAACCAGATTGCTGACCATCTAGCAGGTATGGCTGTCACCCCCAATTTATACCAGCAAGCGAAAATCTCCCATGAATTTTTTCACCAGAATGCGCGGTCACCACAGAAACAATTCGGCTTAAAATTGGCTCAAACAAAAGAAATTTTGAAAGCACGCCCTGACTGCCAAATGGTTGCTCCATTGATTCCGGAAGGAACTAACCCCAGAGGATTAACAGCATTGGAGATTTGGCAGTCAGATGTCACGCACATACCAGAATTTGGAAAATTAAAATACGTGCATGTGTCTATTGACACATTCTCAAAAATGATTGTGGCCACTGCGCATCCTGGTGAAAAAAGTAGGGACGTGAAAAGACACTTTTTATCTGCATTTGCCAGGATGGGTGTTCTGAAGCAAATAAAAACTGACAACGGACTCTCCTATGTATCTGCAGACACCAAGAGATTCTTTGAAGAATTGGGGGTACACCATACCACTGGAGTCCCACACAACCCCACAGGGTAGGGCATAGTAGAGAGAGCACACCAAAACATAAAAAATTTACTCAAAAAACAAAGAAGGGGGAGTACAGGCATGACCCCCCAAGAAAAATTAGAGAAAGTGATGTATGTCCTAAATTTTTTAAATTTATTGGAGGAATCAGAAACTCACGCAAACAGAAGTCCTGTCGACAAGCATTTTAAATCTGACTTTGCACAGGGAACTCAAAAAGCAAAAGTCATGTACAGAGACCCTATAACAGAAATCTGGACGGGCCCTTTTCCCCTGATCACCTGGGGGAAGGGGTACGCCTGTATTTCAGGTGACACAGGACCTAAGTGGGTCCCAGCGAGGAGAATACGGATACACCAGGATTCCAACACAAGATGTGGACCTTCCGCGCCTGTGTCGCCCTCATCATCACCTTAGAACTGATCTGCAACATGTCTACCTCATCCCCTTTGAGAGAATGGATGAAGCAGCCGACCGAGAACCTGTGGGTAATGCTGGCCAAGGCCACTGGGACAGACACTTTGTGCCTGGCCTTGTCCAGCGCCGGTAACCCTTTTCAAATGTGTCTGGTGGGTATTCCTGTGACTCCGGGAGAGGAATGGAACACCTTTGTATCACAAACCCGGAGTCTGGGAACCCTACCATTAAACTCTGCTACACTGGCACAGGTTGTTTCCCGCCAGGTTTTTACTGCGGATCCACTCCAAGAAATTGACCTCCTTGGTTCTCTCCCCACCAATAATTGTATCTTATTTCATCACTACATGGAGCCAAACCTATTCACCCCCCTTAATGTATCCGCTAACAGGCCAATTTACCAAGGAACCCCTTCGATATGGTGTAACAACTCGATTGCAACCACGGTAGCTACAGAACATGTGCCGAGAAACATGAGACTTCCCAAAGGATTTTTCCTTCTGTGCAGGGATTGGGCGTGGCAGGGTATTCTTGCCTACCCAGAAGGGGGTCCCTGCACAGTAGGAAAATTGGCACTTTTTAACCCAGCGAAATTTAAATTATTGGATCAATCTTCTACCCCTAAGAGTCGAGTTAAAAGATCCCTATCTTTTGCCATAGGTGCTCTGCTTAGATTTCCTAAGCCAAAGAAAGTAACACCACCCACCTACTACCAGCCCAAACCCAAAAATTACTAATCCCCTTACCTTTGCGGCATCACGTGTGGATGCTGGGATTGTCAATCCGCCACCTCCCCTACCCTTCTCTGCGGATTGAGATTCCAACATCCACATCTGGTCCCGCATGAAAAACTTCTGGGTTTCCTTTCTGATCCCAGGGATATGAACAGCCCATGCCCTATCCCTATTGACCCACCTTGGTTGCTGGTTGACCAAGGAAGCCAATGCCACCACCACAGCAATCGAAGGCCTGCTAGCGGATACCCAAAAATTAAAAGAAATCAGTTTACAAAATCGTGCAGCCATTGACTTCTTACTCCTGGCACATGGGCATGGGTGCCAGGAGTTTGAAGGCATGTGCTGCATGAATTTTTCTGATCATGCACAGTCAATTCATCAAAGTATCAATCAATTAAAGAATTTAGTTCAAGATATCCACCAATCCCACAGTGAGGGGTTGGATGGATTGTTTGATTGGCTAAACCTTCCCTCACTTCCCAAATGGTCAAGAAAGATATTAATCATGATTGTGATCTCCCTGTGTGCCCTCGTTGCATTTTTAACCTGTTTGCCTTGCTTTATTATATGTATCCGCAAGTTGCTGCTAAAGAGTATCGATGTCAATGCCACTTCCATAAACAAAGAAGGGGGAGATGAAGAGAATGAGAAATTGGGAAAGATTTCAAGCATGGAGAGACATTTATGGAGCTTGAATACACTGATATCTTATTGGACTGACTGTTATTCCCCAGTTCATCATTGGTTTTATATTAAGTTTAATGTACCCCAGTGTTATTCCCCTCAGTCCCTCAGATTTTCCCTCCAAAAGTTGTTTACTCCCCTCTTCTCCCCTGCTTTCCCGCTCCTCTGTCACTGATTGGCTGAGAGTTGCCACAGTGCAGAGTGAGCCCCCATTGGTCCTTTCCCCTGGATACCCACAAGTCACACCCACCTTTCCCCTGTCTCCCAATCCTGTCTCACCCTTGGTTGTCAGTCCCATGCACCTCCCCAGTTATGAATCCTCCCCTCGGACTTACCCTATATAAGTCCCTGTGTCCTCTTAATAAGTTGGCATTGCACCCAGACCCTCGGCTGCGTCTGAACCCTTTTGTGTGGTGCCGTGTCCCTATTCCCTTTTCCCCTTGGGCCGTGGCAACTCTTTCCAAGGATATCCAGTTTTCTTAGCTTTGCAAAGTAATATAATTCAACTAACTTTCTGGTCAGATTTCCATTCGTAAGCTTCTTTTAAAAAATATTTACCTTCCTAGAATATGGTATTAACTGAATATAAAACATAAGAAAATACTACGTATTACAGGCAATGTAAAAAAAGCTACAGATAAGCACACAGATGGCCAAGTATTAAAAATTATATGGTCATGAGAAAAGTTTTAAGCTCTCTGAGGTATAGCACTATCTTAACACCACAGGTTTGAAATACCATACAGAGACTCAGGATATTGTAGTATTGGTGTAACTACCAAAGCAAATTTTTGGGTTTGTGTTTTGTGTTTTGGTTTCTTTTTTTTTTTTTAAATACCTGTAAAGGTCACCGCTACAAAGATTGAGCAGCTTGAATGAAAAATACATAAAGTTACTGTATCTGGCCTATGTATTTTAACATTACATTCAGAAAATTAAGAGTGGAAATAAGAACTGCCCACGCTGTAACTGCATGTCCAAGTATTTGGCTGGAATGTACCAGAAGCAGAGATCATAAACACTGACATAAATTCATATCACGAATCTGAGCTGGGTTGGGAGGGATGAGACAAAAAATGGAAGGCAATGAGAGGTTTAAAATTCACACATTAGTAATCATGAGGTAACTGACATAAGCCACTAAAATTTAGTAAGATCTGCTTTTTGTGGCTGAACAGTTTTCCTCCTCCTGTGTATTGGCAAATGGGTAAAGAAAAAGAAGTATTCTGACCATTTCCAACTTCAAAATTTACACCAATTACTTTTATTGTATTATTCTAATCAAACCAGAAGTGCTCCCCTTAGCATATTTTAGATCTAGATCTGTTTTAAAAGGTAAAAATCACATTTGCCAATATTGTTTAAGTAAATTACGTGTGCTTCTTTAGGTTCACCCACAGTTGCAAGCAATTGTGTTCGGCTTGGTTTAAACAAAATAAAAAACAATGAGTTAAAAACACAAGGTCACTTAACCTTCTTCCTGGTTGATTTACCTTTAGTTAAAATTGTAATGTTTTACTAAGCCATACCAACTCTGACCATACTGGGAAAGTGTCTCTGGCACAAGTGGTTTTCAGAAGAAAAGCTGGTCTTCCCAACAGCTCTTTCTTCTGCTTCATCTTAAAGTGCAGAAACTGTGGGAAAGGATAACAAGACTTGCTGTTCGTCACTGTGGAACTACTTCCCTTAGAGAGGCTAAGGCTGCATGTATGCGGACGTGCAATCTGTTCTCAAAGTCATAGCCAGAAAATTCCTCCTGGGGGGAAAAAAAACAAGAAGAAAAACACCAAACATATAACTGTTAGCCTCCTTCACTTCAAGGCATGAAGACAATTTTGCTACTAGTGCTTAAGAAGTCATATTACAAAAGAGTCCAAAAGAAAAGAGGTGAACTGGAGATTGCATGTTGCAATATCCCGACGTTACCCAAAGCAAAAGAATTATTAGAGATATTCAGAAAGCTCTAGCCCAAGGCAGGAACCAGTTGGAACTGACAAGGAGTGGAGAGCTGTCATTTTCAAAATTTCTGTAGCAAAATCTTAGTTGAAAAAAGCAAGGTTCTAACAGTCCAGGAGAGGTCACTAAAATGGGTTCTGCTATGACTGACCTAGGAATACATAGCTATGTAACATACATAAATGTGGATCATATACATACATTCATGCATATCTATATGATAGTGTTGTAGGCTATAGGGGAGGGACACCACCACTTAACATCCACTCCACCTGCCCCAAAACCACAACCTCCCAAATGCCTTCATCTCAAAAATCTAAATTTGAAAGTGCCTGGTTTTTACCTTGGCTTGGAGCAGTAAGGTTTTGCCTCTTGGCACAGTCTACAAAAAGACAAACACTGCATTAGAAACACATCAAAAATGTTACAGAAAATATCTTAAGTAAAGGACATGGTTAGTCTGGAGTAGCACCTCTATCTTGAAAAAAGGTACTGAGCAGACAAAAACCTCTCAAATTAGGAAACTAGAAATATTAATGAGGTACCCAAGACAGTATTATGTATTTCTAGTCTATAGAAAATGAAAGTTGCTGCCAATGATGGTGAGTTACAAGAATGTATAAGGGAACAAACGAGGCTACAAATAATTGACTAATTGATCATTACAGTAGTTTCTGTTTCTTAATTAAAGTTTAAGCCATTTATTTACAAAAAAAGTATATTAAGCATTAAGAGTTGTTCCAGAAATTTCAATTTCAAACTCTTATGGAAAGAAAAATATATTTGCAGATTAATATTTACTGCTGAGAAGCTCCTGTTTTATTTCTTATATAGTACATCTTTAATTTAAGCCTTACAAATAAATAAGATATAGAAAAATGAAGTTCTCTTATTCATATGTACCTAAATATGACTGTATCTAGTTTCATTGGTTACATTACACTCAGTGTCTAAGACAACTACAAAAAAATCTGTAAATTTCAAGATTTTAATATGGTTACATCAAGAAGAACTTGATTAGAATTCAATTTAAAATAACAAAGATGATCCAGATGACATGGTAAATCAAACACGTGATTATGCTTAACAATAACTTCAAAGCAAAGTAAATTTAATAACAGCATGGTTTTTATACTAAAATGTGTATTGATATCTGTTGTTCAGGTCTGTAATATGCTCTGCCTCTCGTGTAAATGTGATTCATAAAATCCTATTCCCTTCTTAGCCATTATAGAGCTCTACCAGGACACCTCAGTTAGTAAATGAAATTTTCTATAAACAGCATTCACTTGCCTCTAATTCTAGCTCTTGCTTTTCCCCATCTCATCCCACTCTATTCAAGTTAAGCATCATTTATCTCCTCATTGCCTAAGTGCCACAAGAGGGAGTTTTCTGCATGTCCTTCAGACACTAAGCACTAACTAAGCACTACCACGGGTTCCCTGTAGAGCTACAAGCCAAGCTTGTGCAGCCCTCAAAGACCCAATATGAGGCACATTTGGTTACTGTGTGAACATCCCACATGTAAAGCAGGAGAAAGGAAGAACTGCTCTCATATTCTCCAAATAACCACATAACTTCACTACCCACCACATCCTTTCTTTAGAGACACCTGACACCATCAAATTTAAACAGGAACATGGAAAAAAAGGCAGAAAGAATAATACAGGACTCAGACCTCCCTTCTAGGCTTCAAGGCCCAGCTCCAAGTTTTAGGGCAGCAGACTTTTCAAAAAGTACATTTACTTTTAAAAGCATTCTCTAATTCTGTCCTTTGTCATGACAATCATCTTTATTGAGAGAGGGGAAGGTTCAGCTCAGATGATTATACGTGACAACATCAAAACCAACTGAAAACAGAATCTTAAGAATATGAGAAACTATCAACACAACTACTTCTTAAGAAAATGAGATATTATCAGCCTAACTACTTCATACACTACATACAATGAAGGGGGGTTCAAGTCACTACCCTGTAACCACTTCCTCCAACTTTCAATCTGATTAAGGATGTACTACACAAGGTGGCATAAACTCCAAGTAGCGCTGTTACACGTTTGAGAAAGGAAAACATCACAAATGCACAAGTGGTGCACAAGCTGCTCTACTCTTAAGATTCTCCAGGTTTCCTAGGAGGCAGAGTACGTGCAAAGACCTAAACAATCAAATGTATCATCAGCCAAGCCATTTGGACAGTCTGAAAGCCAGGTGGATTATCTTCCTCTTCACCCTGAACAACAAAACCCTCGCTAGTCAGGGTGAAAATCAAAATGTCCATACAACAATCTTTAATGGAATTTAAATGACTGAAAACACTTGCTATTTTAGGAAGGCATCAAATTCTATTTGGAACGGATAACTACAAGCATTCTTTGAGCTTGAATGGCATCCAACAGGATTTTAAATAGGTAAGAAAATGACCCTACGCATCCATGATACTAAATACCACCTGTAGACAAGAAATCCCCGCCTACCCAAGGCATTCTGGTCAGGCTTTTTTTGCCACCAGCAGCAGGAACACTCTCTATATTGAAAAAATAAGACATTGTTACCTTAAATACATTGCATTTCTTGGATTGAAAAAAACCAAAACCTAAACACAAAATAGTAATTTTCTTTACAGTAGGTATAAAACAAATTCTTAAAACTTCACATACATTATCACCCATAAATTTTGTTTCATTCTTTATATAGTGGTATGCTGACTCTTTATGCTCATTTTAAGAGTTTAAAAACAGTTTAATGCTATTACCTCTGGATTGTCTAACAGAATGCAGCCAAGTTCATAGCAAGCATATGGCTGGACGTACAAGTTGCTTTGACGGCAGAGTTCATCTTTTGCAGCTCGCTGAAAGTACTGTAAAAATGAAAGGAAAAAAACAAAAAAACTGCAGTAATTTATTGAAATTGACTGTTCGATACTTCAAAACAATTAAGAAGCACCATTCAACTTTAAGCATTAGAAATTAGCCAAAGTTAAATTAAGAATACATTAAAAATTTACAACAGTATAGATTCCTAGATGTTTTTACCAACACTACTGTATCAAGGCAAAATAACTTGTCTGGATTTTAACAAAGTAACATATTGAGTGTTTCAAGAATTTTCCAACTTCATATTGAAAAAATATTAGATCTAACAAGGAACTTTAACATCAGTGATGAAGTACCTAGATTATTTACGGTATGCTTGAGATAAATGAGAAGGGGGGAGGGATTCAAAGCCAGCATCTTGCTGCATATGTGAATTGCATTCCATTTTAGGGAGGAAAAAGGAAAGCTGTGCCTATGGAGCAAAACCTGAAGCAGTGGCAAATTTTTTCTTTGGTATGTGTGCTAAAAATCAAATCTCTCAGTGTCTAGTAGTCCTGGAGAAGCAGCAAATGTGTGCTTTCAAAAGGTCAACCTCCAAGGTACTTTTTTAAAAAAAGATTAATTTTCATTGTTGGACAAAGTAAATCTAGCAGAGCAAGAACTTTGTTATAACTTTTATCTTCCTAGCTTCCCCTTAACTCTTTCTACTATAAGCCACATTGGTTGCCATGGTCATTCAGCACAGTGAACTACTTTTACAACACAGAATATAATGACAGCATGTTAAACCAAAAGATTTTAGAAGAACCTGTTAGAATTCACAAACCAGAATGATTACTACCACTGAAAACTAATGACTTGCTTAACACTTACTCAACAATATTTACTGTTTAACAGAATAGCTTGTAAAACAGGATTAATGGTGTAAATTACCATTTAACAACTTACCTGAATGGCATCTTCAGAATTTCCTAAACATTTGTGTATGGCACCAAGAAGCAAATTCCTCAACCCAACAGCCGATGAATCATCAACATCCTGACAAGCTTAATGAAAAGGTTCCAGTAAACAAACAAGATGGATTGAAATCCTTCCTTAGACAAGAACTGTGGCCTAAGGTGTGTTTTAGTCCAATGTTTAAATTTAACCAGACAAAGGAGATGCTAGTAACATTAACATAAAGCAAAGTAATTTGTCTTCTTTTAAATACAACCCATTTTGTATGAACTTCATGAAGAAATCTTGTGACTCATGAGAGCAATTCCTAACAGGAATTAATGAGCTGAAGTCAAAGGAAGTTGGTGTGTTCTTCTCACAAGTAGAGGAGAATCCATTTCTCTACCAGTCTTTGAAATAACCACTAAAAAGTCAAGTTAAGAAACAATCACCTCCTTCTGGTGTTATGGGAAACTGGTTTGTCCCACACATTGAAAAAAAAAATACACAGTCCCAAATTATGAGGAGCACAGGGCAAACAGTTCAGACAAACCTGATTTGTTCTGAACTGAAGCCAAGTGACAGACGCACAAAAATCTGTACTGGACCTAAAAACCCAGACTAGGGTATTTTGGCATCACGATTCTCAGTGATGACGAGACGATAAGGCTTATTTCCCAGACCTTAGCTGGTCAACGATCCAGGGACAGACTGTGCCTCAGCTGAGTAGTGCTCTGTTTCCAGGAAAACCTGTATCACAATGCATGAACAGTTTCTAGATGAATCAGGCTCCATTTTGATCAAGCTTATTAGAGCCAGCTCTGTTAAACCAGGACTAGTCCCATGAGGACCCATTCACACTTGTCAGCACCATCACCTCCAAGAAGGCAACGGTACAGGGAGGCCTGCAGGGCTTTTCATCACTTAACTGCTGTCTCTGGAGCAGTACAGCTCCTTAAACATTTTACCTCATTGCATAAATCCTGCCAGATCTTAACCATCTTAACCATTCACAGTTAATCCATAACTCAAAGAAGCCATCTATGGATAACTAAGAGTTGGCTGCATGAAGTATTTGGGCTGACAACTCATCATTGCAAGGCTTGAGTTACTTGGTGTTTTACTTAGAGGGATACAGGTGGATACAAATTATTCTTTTAAGTCAAGTTCTAGCCCTGGGGAAAACCCTGGAAATCCACCACAGCAAATTACAACTCAGTTGTTCATGAGAAGAGGAAACAAATATATAAAAAAAATTCCTTATCATCCACGTTCTTGAGATACACATAAGGTGTATCAAAAACAGTCTCACTGCACACATCTTCAGCTAGGGATGGCTGACGCAGACCCGTCAGTGTCAAACTTAGAAGAAGCTTATCTCTGAATTTTCATCTGTACTGCTATTTCATATTAAAATGTGAACCACTGACTAGAAGCTTATACAGGGGAGATCTACACTGCTTCTGGGTGTGCAGGAGAGAACACATACTCTTTACACCCTCGAAAGCTGACTGTTCTGAAGGTGAATGACAGCCAAAAAAAATCCTCACATTTATTTTTATGTGAGCAAATCTGCTTTTAAAGCCTACCATTACCTTTGTGACTAGAAAACTAGAGATCTGAATATAACCCACTGCCATCACTCAATTTAAACAGACAAATTATCTTAAATTAAAAACAGAACAAAACACCACTACTAGTCCTGACTCTCAACTTCAAGACTGGTAGTTTTCTAGCTTAACATGAAAATTGCATACAATCCCCAAGACTTCACAACTACCAAAAAAAAAAAAGACAACCCCATAGGAGACAATTTTTGTTTTATTTTCTAAATGAGTAAGTAATTATCTAGAAATAATAATAATAAAAAAATAAATTTAAAAAGAGAGGATTTTAGAATGGTTTGGGTTGGAAGGGACCTTAAAGATCTTGTAGATCCAACTCCCTTGCCCTGTTGCAGGGACACCTTTCACTAGACCAGGCTGCTCAAAGCCTCATCCAGACTGCCCAAAGTCTCATCCCAGCCTGGCCTTGAACACCCCCAGGGATGGGACATCCACAGCTTCTCTTAGCAACATGTGTCAGTGCCCTCACCCTCACAATAATTTCTTCCTAATACCTAACCTAAATCTGTCCTCTTTCAGTTTGAGTCCATTCCCCCTTGTCCTATCAGTACATGCCCTTGTAAAAAGGGCCTTTCCTGCTCTCTTGTTGTACACCTTTAAGTACTGAAAGATGCTCTGAAGTCTGCTTGAAGCCTTCTCTGCTCCAGGCTAAACAGCTCCAACTTTCTCAGCCTGTCTTCATAGGAGAGGTGTTTCAGCCCTCTGATCATCTGTGTGTGCCTAATCTGGATCTGCTTCAACAAGTCCATGTCTCCTCCTGTGCTGAGGATCCCAGAGAGGGATGCAGTACTTCAGGTGGGATCTCACAAGGTCTCATGAGAGCAGAGTAGAGGGGCAGAATCATCTCCCTCTATCTGCTGCCCATGCTGCTTGTGATGCAGCCCAGGATGCAGTCAGTCTTCTGTGCTGGGAGCTCACGTTGCCAGCTCATGTTGAGCTTCTCTTCAGTCAATTTGAAACTGTTTGCAGAATGTAAACAAGAGTGACTGCTGGATGGAGGGAGAAGTACAGTAAACCTCATGATAAACACTGCTACCACAATCTTCATGTGACAGATATCTGAAGACATCTGGAGACTAAGAAAGAGGCAATCATTCACCACTACCAAGGTCCCAGCAGCCAAGATAAACAGAACGCCTATCATGTCATGGATGACCTCACAAGCGACCCCTACTTCCTCTTAGAAGAAAACTGACGTGCAGAAACATATCAGTAGATTAATTTTGTTATTTTTTAGCTATGTTTAAATTAGTTATATTTTGTTTAATGATTTGGAACAGTAACTATCATGCTATTGTTTCATTTTAAACAATGATTAACAAACAACTATATGCAGCAGGCAATGAAGCATTAAGCTGAATCGTAATAGGCCATTATTCTATGGTTACTCAAAGTGTATTTTGCTATGACACATACACACAAGTTTAACTTTTCGTGCTACTACGATCAGCTACTCCACACAACAGAATAAAATTATACACCCGCCTTTTAAGAAGTAAATAAATAAATCAAGCTTATACCATGATAAACCTTATAAATAAATCAATATTATACCTTGACTCATATGCTGTAAGTTCGAGAGGGAACAGTTTGGAAGGGCCTTCCATAAGTATAATACTTCAATGGATGCCAGGACACACAGCTCTTTGGTCGGCATTTGTTTTCTAAATCTATCTGCCTGCAAAGTGGGGAGAAAGAAGGAAGGGAGATCCATCATTTATCCTTTTATGGGGTCATAATATTCCCAAACAATATATCACAAACAGTAATTTTAACTGTTTCATAAAGTCACACAACAATTCTATGAAAGTAAGTCAATGGTAACTTATCTTAAAGACTTTTAGACTAAAAAGCAAAAATCTGTCAACTAATTTAGGAGCTTACCTACTGATCAAAATTAAAACTTCCTTGTATGCAGCCTGACCAGTTTTACTGTATTTCACAGTCCCCACTATGCAATGATTGGATGCTGAAACAGTAACATCTGCAAGGTATCAGATAGGAGCTATTTCCTAGACAACTCCTAGCTTTCAAACAGAACTAAGGTTTTCACAAACAAGACAAGATAAAAAGGAGTAAGGAAGGCAAAGCTAGAAGGAAAATTACCAAAGCAACTACAGTATCACATATTTTTATCTTTAATAATGACTTTAGTTGTAAAGTGAATAGATAATTCACATTTCCTTTGCTAGATCCTTCAAATACATTTGACACTATTCTTTTTCCATCCTTCTTTTTCCTTCCCACTAATTCTACAGAAGTAACACAAAAGAAAACAGATACATCCTTCAAAAAGAAAATACTGTTGAAGAACTGAACTGTTATTACTGCACGAAAACAAGTCAGCCGATGCTAAAACTAACCTTTTTCACTGAAAATTGTTCTATTTGATTGTTTTTTCTTTTGAAAAGCTTCTGAACTTCCTTGAACACATTCTGAGCACCACTGACATCACCAGTGGCTCCTTGACACACTGTAAGAACATAGAAATACGTTAACACTACTGGGATATAAAACAGGAAAAATTAGGATTAGATATCACATGGTCACAGAAAAACAAACACACTCACTTCAAGAAAGTGTCCAGACCGAGGATTTGACAAAGATGATAATCCCAATTTCCCCAGGTACCCTCTGTGATTATTAACAAGTCAGTACTACTTTTATATAACCATTAAAGGAAGTAATACCACCAAGCCTCTAAAGATTTATTTATTAGATCTTTGCAATACAACTGCTACATGTCACTACACTGACAATCCCAATTGTATCTACATCGAGAGGGCGTACACACACGCATGTACACGTGTGAGCATGCAAGTGTTCATTATATAAACAAACAAAATTATCCAAGTCAAGTCTGGCACAAAGCTGCAAAAGCAGCAGGCAGTGTGGAAGGCACTGCACACACTAGCAAGTTTCCCAAAACAAAACAGTGCCAAAACCTTAGCACATCACTGATTTATCATCTACCCAACACACGGAATGTACTCACCTGCTGTTAAATAAGCATAGTAGCATTGGGACCACCTGGATTCATTTTTAAGCCTTTCGAAGGATTCAAATGCATCTTTGAAGTTCATCTCTATCATGCTGCACCAACCTAGAAGCAAAACTGATTTAATTCCAGGGAAAGTACAGTAATTCAAATTTGGTGTCAACATTATTGAAACACACAGTCTACTACGAGAGCTGGAGCTACTTTAACAATTACAACAGTAACTGGAAAATTAAAAACAATGTAAATGAACTACATATATTTAAAGCCTGGTTTAAATTTACTGAGAAATTCTGAATTATAAGATTCCATACAAAACAATGAATCCACTTCAGAGTAACAACAAATCTATACAGATACTAAAATCTTTTTTAAATATTTTGTAGGATACTAAAACTTAAAAAGATACTAATTGTTCCTTTATTATTTCCCACTGTCACAAATTCCCATTTACAGCTTGAAGCAACATATCTTCTCCACTCCAAAGAGCTGTATGCAAGATCATATAGCGTATACTACTACTGATGGAAGGAAATGAACATGAAACACAGATCCTGCAAACTGTGAAGGTTTAGACTGATTACTTTTTGATTCCATGATGATGATTCCATGGACAAATTAAATGAGTTAATTTCTAATTTTAAATAATATTCAGTAAGCGAACAGTGTGCCCTTGATTCCACAGTCTGATTTTGCATCACCTTGTGTTTGCAGAAAAATTTATTATGAAAAATACTTGCCCAAACAAGAAGATAGGTTTATTACCATAATCCACCCAAGACAAAGGCCAGTATTCTAAAACCTTTTTAAAAATCATCATAGAAAGAATCCAGTTTGCTTATTGAAGTTGCCAATCTAAACTTGAAAATGAGCCATTTATGGCATAAACATAAACAACGTACCTATTTCATACAAGCAGACATGCTGAATCTCCCTTTGGTCTGTTGCAAGTTCCAAAGCAGTATGAAATGAGGTCAAGGCACTATTGATTTGACACTAACAAAAGTGAAAGAAGAATAAAAAAAAATCAGACTGAAATTTAAAATTTGTTCGATAATTTGATTTTGATAAAGAAAACAATCAGATTTCTGTTAATAGAAAATTAAACATAATAGAAGAGTTTAACAGTGTAGCAACAGCCAGTTCAGATTATCTCTCAACCCTACAAGTAAGTGACAGTATTTTCTATTACGTCAGAAATTCATTGGTTTTGTGCAGTAAGCTTTAGGGTAGTCTCATTTTTACGTTTATTAGTCATTCCACCTTTAGAAGTCATATTTTTAGCATCTGCCATTGAAGTTTAGCTTTCTGCACAATAAGGGTACCATTAGCGTTTGATTTTATTTATTTTGAACTTTTCACCTTTTCCCATATCCCTCAGCAACCACTTTAAGCAGCAGTTAATAGAGAATTCATAAATGCTGCATGACACATTAGAAGATAAAAAGGCACATGAGAGAAAAAAAGAACATTTTGATAAAATCATTAGTTAGCAACAGTTTAGTAAAAAGAGGCTGACATCCTTCTAAGAACTAGAATGATAGTTCTTTTGACTACCTTAATTTCTAGTTTTCCCAGACTAGGATGGGATTTGTCCATACCAGTTATTATGGGGAGGGAATGCAAAACAATATTGGTTTTACATATACATACTGTATATTCCAATATGGCCTGTATCTGCTTTAATAGCATTCCTATATTTATTCTCACATACAATTATAATAATTTATATTACAGAAGAATTTTTAAGCCCCTGTCTGCTGACTAAGCAGGTAAGTGAAAGAAACCCTTGCAAGGGCAAACCCATGATCTGTGCAAGCATAACTGAATTCAAAAATTCCTACAAAAATCTGCAGAATTGTATCTTAAGTCCATGAACACACAGAGCTCTGAAGTGATTTTTTAGGTTTTCTCCTCTGTCTCATCAGGGAAAACTGTTTTAGTTGCTAAAGAACAATTTCATTGAAAATAATACATACTGCATCAAGACAGCACAACAGGCAGCAAAGGGATCCACACCTGTACCAACATAAACACTGTAGCCTTAGAAAATACAGTGGTGATGAAACTAAGATGCTTGTTGGCAAGGCAGAATGTGAGTTATATTTGCCCTCAAAATTACCAGGAAGCCTGAGCCATGTGTACCTCGTTTAATTTTGTAGCAGCACATTCTCTCCACTACACATTATCCCAACATACCTTCCTAGAAAATAACTGTTATGGGCCCAATCTTACAGAAAAAAATAACGTCAGTTTAGAACTTTATCTTTGTGCTAGGAAGTTCAAAGGCTATCTGTAAATCTATGTTTTGAATGATTCTGAGGAAAATGGAAAAAAGAAAAAGAAAATCTAAATATTTAGCCCTCTTTGAAGATACTTTGCCTTCTAAAATCCTAAAGGTTTCAAACCAGAAATCACTTATTTGTAGGACATGTTATTCCACACAATGACTACCGGCAATTAAATCATTGTCTGCAATGCCATACACCAGCTTGGGGCAGTACATGAAACACCAACCACTCAGTAATATACAAGTCCAGTTGGTTGAATATTCAATCTTCTATAATCTATCCTTTTAACTGTCTAGATCTCACAAGTGTTTTGACATCTGTCTAACTTTTCCTTCAGCACCAATCTCGGTTAAGTATGTTTCAGAGACATTCCTTAAATACAGTTTCAATCATCTCTAGGGATTGTGACAATGTGCTGGAATACGAATTTTTACTCTTAGTGTTAATTCTTAAATTAATTACTATTTGTTTACTGTTTCAAAGAATAAACAGAAAGAATTATAAAGTCCCAACAGTCTGCAAATATAACATCTTAGCTGCACCTGAAACTGATGTTCCTGAGATTTATAAATATATATAGACACACTTTAAATTCCTTCAACAAGCACTAACTACTCATGCCTCTCTTGGACATAATACAAAGACAAAAAAGCCCATTAAGACATAAAATGTGTAATTTACAGAATTACATAACCATAAAAAATATTAATAAAGCTAATGTGAGAACCCTAATCTTACATTTCTTGGTTTCACACTAAAACTGAAAGCACCCCAACCCATCAACTAAGCATCTACAGAGCCTACCAGGCCCAAGCGGCTTCCCAAGCCAACACACATTTCCCCAAAGAGTTGTTCTGAAATCTCAGGACACTGTTCTTTCTCCCAGAACGTTTCTATTCTCAATCAGCACTCTGAATTTGTAAAGCTTTTAAGAAGTCACGTTCATAATTAAGGGGAAACCAGAAAGCAGTTTCCTGCTAAAAGGCAACAATTTACACCAGAGAACACTATATGGACATTGCAAAGCCTCTGTTTTCTATTCCTTAGCACACAGAAACCCATTTTTTCTTAGACACGACACAAAATCAAAATAGAATAAAACTAGGATACTGTACTTTGTAGCCTAGAACAAGTAACTAGAAAAGTCAGCACAATTCTTGAAAATAAACCTCGACATTACACAAGCCCTGCAAATTTCTTTACTTTAGACATCATTGACTTTCTTCCAGAAAGTTCACTTAAGACTTGTCAATGCTTATTATTACTCTTGCCCTCAGTCTACTTTTCCATACCACGCCCTCTTACTCCTAAATAAGAATGATACCACTGATACAAAAATGTCTACAAAAAGTAACTAAAAAACCAAGAGTACCTGTCAGCATTACATTTAAGCACAGTGAACATTTTCAGAAGCCTGCACATCCCACACACTTTCATACACCTGAATGTATGAATGGTGTTTTGCCCATCAGGTGGAGTATTTGGTACTCTTCCATTCAGACTCTTTACATGCACCTATACCCATTGAACTCCATGGATCAAGCCCCAGAACCCAAGTTTTTTGTCCCAGCCCTAAAGATTTCTTATTGTTTATATATACATATGCACAGTCTGTTCCTAATCAAAGAGAAACAATAGTTTCAAATAGTGTTGCTGATTAGGAAAAAAAGAAAAAAAAAAGGGATAGCAAAATTGCAAGCCGAAAAGCAGAAATAGGTAAAATCCAGAACACCACCTCTCACTCTGCCCTCTCCCAGCTCAAGGTATAATTTTACGTGCATATAGGTTAAAGTACAGACTTCCCAATTTTGGTAAGCCACCTGAAATAATATTCCCATGCCCAGTGGAAAGAATTTAAACTTACTGGTGCACTAACAGTTTCAAGAAAGGCAATATAAGCACTTCCCAGGTTTTACAGGAGCTCTCCTCGCTCACCTCGGAAATGAGAAGGAAATTACAACTCCCCATATTAGTCTGTAATCTATGAGTATCTGAGCACTTCTGGTTCAGAACCACAGCAGCATTTAGGCTGAAAAAGACCTCCAAGATCATACAGTCCAACCTCTGATTGATCACCACATTGTCAACTAAACCAGAGAACTAAGTGCCACATACACTTGTTTCTTGAGCACCTCCAGGGATGGTGACTCCACCACCTCCCTGGGCAGTTTGTCCCAACGCTTAACAACCCCTTCTGTGAAAAAATTCTTTCTGATGTCCAACCTGAACCTCCCTTGGCACAGCTTGAAGCTGTGTCCTCTCATCCTGTCACTTTTTGCCTAGGAGAAGTGGCTGACTCCCACCTGGCTACAACCTCCTTTCAGGCAGCACTTGTAGACAGTGATAAAATACTCCCTGAGCATCCTTTTCTCCAGGCTAAACAACCCCAGCTCCCTCAGCCACTCTTCACAGGAACTGAGCTCCAGACCCTTCACCAGCTTTGTTGCCCTTCTCTGGACACTCTCCAGCACCTCAATGTTTTTCTTGTAGTGAGAGGCCAGAACTAGGCACAGGTCTCAAGGTGCAGCCTCACCTGTGCTGAGTACAGGGTGACAATCACTTCCCTGCTCCTGCTGGCCACACTAATATGAAATGGATGCCGTAAGACCAATGCCCAGATTCAAGACACATGTAACCACAAGTGTATCATGCAGAAATCCAGCACAGCTCCTTGCCATTGCCACCAGTCACATAATAGCCTTCACTATTATGTCAACAGCATTCAAGCAAATTAAGCATGTAAATTCATAACAAAATCTACAGAAGAGCCCTAGACATCTAACCAAAACATTCAGACACAGCAAAACCTCCCTGATACAGCACCACTTGGAACAAAGCAATGATGAGAGAGGGGGAAAAGGCTGGTGAATAGACAAGCTCTCATGCAAACAGACACATGAATAGCAAAGGGACATTTTAATTCCTGTTGGCAACCAATAAGCTTTCTGCTAAGGGTCATGGTTGCACAGCATTCTGCGTGCCTAAGCTAACTAACTTCATTAAAATGGCCACACTGTCTCTGGCACAAAGTTTCACCTGGACCTAAACTTCAGTATCAGTACTGCAGTATCTACATACTGCATCATTTCATACACTAATACTGTAAGATTACATTTAACAAACTCTCCTCTGGAACACACTGGTACTCCAGAAAGGGACCAACTTCACAAAACTCACACTCATCCCAAACATATTCTCTTTCTTTACACATAGAAAGATATATTCATTTTATTAGCAACTTATGTTTAGGCTTTCACCCTACCTTGCTCTGAAAGTCAGAAGCACCAGCTGAGTTTTATTTCTCATTACACTAAAAATACCAAGTCATACCCTGGTAATCAATGTACTTGCATTTTTAACTGCACTTGCCTTCATTATGTAGCTATTCCTGACAAATCTGATTTTTACCATAAGAATGAAATATGCATACAATTGAACAAAAGCCACCGAAATCTTTCCTACTCAGACAACAGCAATACTTGCCCAGGACTGACAACTTGCCTGTGACAATGTTAATTCCTAAAATGCACCACTGCCTTCAAAACAACAGCAAAAAAAGAAAAATAACATTCGAATCCCATGCAAGAATATGCCTGAAAAATCTGATAGTCCACTGAAGCCTACTCCTCTGTTCTGTTACTCTTGTTACCTCTCTCAGAATATTTAGCTGTATTTGAAAGACTTAACTGCAAACCCCAGCAAAGGATGACCACCAATATTAATATCTCAATGAGCTCTTGTAATTATGATGTTGAGATGAAGGGTTTGAACATTCTGGCTTTGTGCTTTTGTGTTAGGTTTTCTGGTTAATATAATTGTTCAGAAAATATTCTGGTCTGATAAAAGCAGCAGCTAGGAGTTGAGTAGTATGAAGTACTTGTCTCCTATTATCAGAGATTCTTAGAGAATAATTTAGCCAAAACCCAAAAGGTTCCTGCAGTGTTTGAATAGCACTTTGCAATAGCATTCACAAACACATTCTTAGTGAATACATTTCGGCTTGGGTCAGAGCTCACCCTTAGCAACAGAAAACATCCTGGTTTGACCTCTCAAAAGCAAAAGCAGTTATTTAAGGGAAATTACTCCAGAGAATTAGCTGTATATGAACAACGCATAAAACAAAAAGGGGAAGATAAATGCTATGTACTCAGCAGATAATACTCAACATTTTAGCTTCACAAGCAAAACTGAAATAGCTCAAGAAACTCCTGAGTGACCAAAAGCACTTCCTTTTAGCACAGCCCACAAATGTATCAAGTAGCTGAAAAACAATTTCAAAATGTTAATTCAGATAGATGTAGCGGAAGAGCTGGTTTTGCATCTGAACTTGAAACTAGGAAGGATTTAATCCATTCTTATTATCTTTTTATTGTTGACGGAGATGATTATCTTTCCATGTATCTCACACTTTGCTGAAGCTTGCTTAGCTCATTGACATCAGAAAAACATAAAATAACAAAGGGTGAGGAGGAGAAATCAGTCTAAAGGATGAAAACATGCAATACCTCTAATCGCTGTATCCTTCCCTTGAAGAACATGAACAGAGAAGAATTTGGATAAGCAGATTCTTTTTTTGCAAGAATTTCTTTTGCCTCTTTCAATCCTGCCTTGTTATCGCTGCCGTCAAGGGCAAAAAAGGGGCGAACAACTGTGTGGTACCACAAGAGAGCCAATCTAAAAGAAATGTAAGAGTAAAAATGATTACAGTCTGTAAACAGAAATTTAAGGATTACGTTCTACACAGAGAAATTTTTAAATTATTCTGAAAGACAAAGATAGACATGAATCTTTTATTATGCAATCTGGCTTTAAAACAAACACAATGCTACTGCCATACATCAACATACTCCTAAACTGCACCTGAACATACAATTCAGTGCACGTCACCCAAAGGCAAGGTAACAATCAAGCTCATTGCATCAAAGCAGTTGAGCCTTTAGAACTCCGTCAATTTTGAAAAAAGAAAAACTAACAGGAAAACTTTGAAAACTAATTGTTCATTAGAGAGGAAAAAAAAACCCTCCAAAAAAACCAACAACTAACAAAAAAAAAAAAATCAACAAAAAACCTAAACACACAACAGCAGACACACTTGAAATCAATGTCAAAAAGAAATACATCCTGTTTTCAGAAGGGCAGACATCTACATGACCTACATCGCTCCTGGAAACAAGGGCAGAGCACAAAGATTTCCAAGACTATCTTAAGGAGGAAACATTCCCAAAAAATATAATTTTTCTTCCCAGAAAGGACAAAGAATGAATCAACAGGAACATTTAAAACAAACAGAAATCCAATTCTCCTGCTTGTCAATGTTTCAAAAGTAACATCTTATAGTACCTGCAGCAGATCCAGTAATAAAAGGATTAATTTGTAGATAATGTAATAATAATTTATGAGGGTAGTTTAAATTACGTGTACCTCTTAAAAAGACCTGAATGCAGTATGAAGTCTTGGAAAAAGAATACACAAAAAATACTCCTTTAAAAATATTATAAGGAACATCTCATTTTACTGAGATGCTAAAATAAATTAAAAAAAAAAATTAAAAAATTGAAAAGATCTTGGGCTAATAGTAAGGAAAAATAGCTAAATGAGATCAATGGCTCAGACAAAATAGTATTCTCTCCATAGCAGAGAATGTAATTCAGGTAAATCTACACAGATTTCGGGGGAGCTTCTATTTACTCTGCTGGCATTTAAGTAACTAGACATGAGAACTGCAGGTACTGAAGAATACAGCAAAATATTGACACAAACCCCAAATATATGTAAATAATTAACAGCAGAGAGATCTCATACAATAGTAAGTGATGAATTTACTAAACCATGGCACGTTAAACAACAAACTACGAGTTTATTTTACCTGCTGTTGTTTCCTTTAAAGCAACATGACCTTTTGGTTTTGACTTTTCTCCAGTTACTTACTTTTAGTACTAAGTTATCTACCAAAGCATTTCAATATAGCTACTCACGTAGCTAAAGGGGCCTTCATGTCCTTACTTTCACTTGCATACATCAGTGAGGAAAGCCCCTGTAGGCGGTCTCCAGGAAAACCCAGCAGGTTGATGATTTTGAGCAGGTTTGGGGGCACCATGGATATGCAAAGATGAAAAAGTCCATATCCAAAGCTAACAGCACCTTTCAGTCTGTTTAGCGAATCCTCCGTTACACCTTCTGCAGCAATATGATTATCATTTGCAGCATCAGAAGTCAAGGATTCCTGAGTTGTTTTCTTCTGATATATTTCCTGAAGTGTGTTAATGTCCGTATAGCACTTATTGTAAATTTTCCAGGCTTTTCGGAGTATCCACCCACCTTTTATGTAAGCTAAAAATCAAAGGAAAAAAATTACTTCAAGGACACATTTCAGAAGCCATTTTAAGTGGTAAATGCTATTTCACAAACTCTAGGATGCTCCATTTGCATTAACTTCTTGCATAAAGGATTTTGTAATAGCTACTGTCCTCTCAAAGAGGTCTTGCGTACTGGGCACTACAAACTTAAGTGCTCACAACCACAGACTTTACAACACGCAACACAAAGGCACTTCCAGTCAGCTACACAGCAATACAACTGTCAGAAAGAAAGAGAGAAATCAAAGAACTTCACACTGGATCTTGCTCCACTATACAGCACAGATGAAAGAGCTGCCTGGCAAACAGAGAAAAGCAAAACTCAAAAGAGACTACATCTCTTCCCTTAAGCCCAAATTCTGTTAAAAGACAGTCGATAGCAAAATATCAAGAAAAGCCTTTCCTTTGGGCTAGATAGTAAGATTTTCAACATCATCATTTCCCTGCCCCTCACATGAATATAATGCCTTTATGATTAAAAAAAAATGGAAAAAAAAGTAAAGCATGCAGAAATTTTATGGTTTTAAATTATTCCTCAGTTGCCTAACTTCCTCAATTTCAAATGCAATATGAGTACTTGAATTTCCCTAAAAAATATCGTCTTGAGGATTCTCAGCTGAGAATGACAGAATACTCGGTCTCACTATGATTTTTATAGGAGGGTAAAAAAAGGCCTGATATCTAAAATAAAGATTTGCCTATTTACACAGCAATCATCTTGTAAGCACATCCTTGGATAATGACAAGTGTTAAACAGGATACAAACAGAATATCCTTGTACACACTAATCATAAAAGTAGACACCAGCATTATGCCTTTGATAGAGTCCTAAGAGTTAGGAACTGCAGTGACGAAGACAGTAACTAAAAATAAAATAAAACAAAAACATGGTTATAGCAGCAGTCTTCTAAACAAATATAACCAAATTTGCAGAGATAAGTGTTATAACTAATGCCAGAATTAGATCATAACAGGTGGTGTGTGTCAAAGAAAAGAAAAATGCTATTAATACCAAACAACTCCTTACAAGCCTTTGATGCCTTTGACAAAAATCGTTCCAATCACAAAAAAACCCAAAACATTCTAGAGAAAGTAATATCACAGACTAGGCTACGTCTTTTTGGATTCTTGTTGTATGAGGAAGGGATAAGGCTAGTTTGATAGTCTTAAAAAACTGTACTGAGAAAGACTGCAACATTTGTATTCTCAGTAGTGACAGATGGGTTCTGTCAACATGAACTTGAGGTATTACAAGAAATTAATCCTCTATCTTGAGATCCACATTAAAGCATTATAATAAAAATGGAAACCCTTGCCTTGATTCAGATGCATTACAAGACTAACAATACTTCATTTTTAAGCAATTAGGTCATTTTTTGCCTGCACAGAGTACTTTAGAAGTTATGTGGCTCACCACAAGATGAATCCTCAGACAACTATGCACAGCAATGTAGCACACCAATAATAACATCCCCACATTTTCCTTATTCTACAGTAGTGTTTCTCCTAATAGCTAACCACTGTTTCAATGCAAGGACAAAACAGAAAGGATGTGTTAGGTGGAAAAAAAGTATTATTTTAGGCTTTACTTCCATCAGTGTGCTGTCATTAACCCTAAATAATTTACATATTACTGATATACCAATATGAAACAATCAAATTATAACAATGAATTCCTAACTTTTTTAACATAAAAATTTACACTAAATTTTAACAAAAAAATTTCATGCTGATTTCCCAGCATGAAAGTAGTCAGACCTATGACAGTAGTGGAAAATATCAAGAAAAGGTAGTTCAATATTGCCATGGGAAGCCAATGTAAATTGCTGTGTTACCAACTTTATGATCAAACTATTTCTAATACATCCATGAGGGTGGAAAAGAAAATGTGTTAAGCATATGAGAAAGCAGATTGCATGTCATCATATGCTTCTTGTCAAACTGTTCCATGAAGACAAACAAGAAAATTTTCACCCATCCACTGATCAGAAGTATTTGTCTGCCTTTTTTTTTTTTAATTACAGTCATTTCAATAATCTGGTGGTTGTTTCCGTACAGGAATATGATAAAAACAGAAGATGTTTATACATAAACAGAAAGATAACGTACTTTAAAAACCAAAATAATGGACCCAACAGTTCAGCAATGGCAGTAAGTAGCATTTAGCTGCTTGGAGTTTTAACTAAAGATTCCACGTATATTTTTTTACTCAGTAGAGTTACCCAAATGTACTGCATGTTGTGCAGTGCTCTCTCTGCTACCCACTTCAGTTCTCTGAGCAGCAGATAAGAGAGAAAAGAACAGACACTACCCTCAATTACAGCATCCAACCAAATTATGCAGCTGCAGAATACATACTGAACCAAAGAAAAAAAGCTTCAAGAGGGAGGGAAAAAAACCAACCACCACAAACAAAAACCCAGAACTGTATCAAAAATAGCAAGGAAGTCTTTCTGCAGCACTAAACACACAGCAGACAGAAATATCCCCTGAATTTCTGCTAGCTACAGCCCAACACATTCCTGATGCCACGGCTTGGAAGAAAACAAGTTTGCACATCACAGAAAGCATTACGTCCTTGTTTGAAAATCTTAGGTGTTATTTTAAAAAATGTGAATGTTATTTCCCTGATTCCTTTCAGCTGATCAGCAGGGTTTTCACCAACAATCTAGTCTGTTTACCATCTCTTGCTCTTCACTGATTTGGTGAGAACCTGAGAATGCGCTCACACTTTATATACGACCTTGACCACATTTTCTATAAACTCATGGATGTTTTAAGCATGTTTTAAGCATGTTTTAAGATTATGGAGGAGATGCAGGAATGCAAGAAAACATTAGAGATGGCTCTGCAGTCCAGAGGAGTTTATATTCAACACAACGGGATTAACCTCTTTGGCATACAAGGACACACTCTGGTGGCCACAGAATAAGAACTGATTCAGTAGTTCCATCTTCAACACGCTCCATTTAAAATTGCTTTCACTGGCAGTTTGTCAGCAGCCTGGACTTAATGGCCTCTTTTATCTTGCATCAAGCACACAGATGCTACCCATCTTTGCTACCCATCTTCACACCAACTCCTCCAACGCCTCTATGAGAACACGCAAAGGACTCCAACTCGCCTAAGCAAAATCAGTTGAATGCGACCATTGGTACGAAAAAAGCAAAAAGCATGATCTGTAGCAACCCATCTCATCCTACACCATTACCTACACAAAGATAGAAGAATACTTCTGCAAGTGTACCCATCTTGGAATGTTTCAACTGGAACTGTGCTCCTTCTTAAAAACAATCATCCTTATTGCTATCCTTATACTGCGACTTTATGATCACGCTTTATTAAAAGGATATCATGCAAAAATATATCTAAACATGAAAGACACAGCACACCTGATAACTCTTGTTTTACAAATGAGAGTACAGCCAAGTAGACTTGACAGTCTGCTACAATTATTTGTCTTTGTAGACGATCTATCATGGATAGAGTGGATTTTCGTCCATCAACCTGTTTGGAATACACAAAGACAGAGCAGAGCAAAGTATTAACAAAGATAATAGACAATACTTCTCTAAATCTGAGAAATCAAAAAAGGCAAAATTAACTGCAAGTGGTAGTATTGCTACTAAACTAATTCAGCATTTTGAAGTGCAAAACTATGCTAAAATTCCTTTGACAGGTCATCAAGCAAAATCCTACTTGATAGAGAAATTTACACATATACTAGCAGTTATTTTTCCTAAGGTTCTACAAATATTCAGAACAGATTTAAATTTCATTTAATTATTACTAAATGCATCAGACATGGCATTAAAAGATGTTAGACAGGAAAAGCACAGAAAGAGGTATATGACAATTGGCAGGGAAAACATAGTGCCTCTTAGGAGCAGAGAGTGAAGTATGTCAGGTTCAATACTTTTTAGCAAGTAAACTAAATACTGAAGAGAAATGGCTTCTTTTTCTGCTATGTCACACTAGACAGGCCATTCACTACACATTTCTATACTATTACTTTTACTAGTCCTCAATCTTCATGCTTCATTCTTCCTTTCTTATTTAGAATGAAAAATCTAAAAAAGGAAGGAAAATTCCCTAGGAATATTCCTGGCTCACAGCATTCTGTAGCCTCAACATCATGACTTTTGAACATTACTAGAGCATGTATGAATTAAAATTAGTCTGAATTAGACAGGCTACAAGCCTCCTGAGATAATTTAAGAGATCACTAATTTGACATGTTAAAAAACAATTACTAACAAAACACAACTGCTGCTTTAGAAGAGGAATCACCTGAGACTGTGTATTTTACAACAATTAGGAAATCCAAGCAAAATATTTCACTTCATTTCCAAGTTTATCATTAATCTCAACTGCTCTTCACATATCAAAAATAATTTATTCAAAATACAAGGAGGACAGAAAGGAAGTTTTCAGAAATATTTATCCAGTAGACAAATCCATATTTTAGAAATTATGTTCTTACATTCTTTTTAATTTTATTCTTGATTGTTTCTATAACTCCAGCTTCTTCACTTTCACAAAGTTTCTCTGTAGCCTTTAAGTCATCACATGCCAGTTGCATTTTCTCTTCTTCAAATGTCATCATGGCATTCTACCAAAAACCAAACACATTTGAATGACAGAAAGCACAAACAGTTTTATTTCTACAGAAGCTATGGATAGTAAAAGTTTCCCTAGAAATTTGAGAATAAAACTTCTTTAAACAAAAGTAGTAAAATACACACATAAGTAAAAATATTTTCAACACAGAAACACCAAACTAGAGAATTGAGTACTTTATCAACATTTCAAGACAAATCAACTCAGAACTCAGTAAGTCCTTGCCCCCATCTCAGAGCTTCACATGTAGTCAAATTGAATGCACTGTCATGATGAATTTATACAAATTCATTTTCAGTTATTGTTATGTAAGGCATGATTTGTATCTGTGCAGGTACTGCTTTTATGTAATAAATTCATATAAATAACAGGCCTCCAAAGTCAGTAACAAGAAACATTTATTTCCTTTTTTTAAAATAATAATCACAGTCCCTATATAGGTAGGAAGAAAAAGAAACTGCATCTGACTCCAACTGCTGCTGAATTTCAGGACAAGTAAGTTCTTTTCTTGGAGCTTTATTAAACAAAAGCTCTGAATGACACAGACACACCAAGTGCTGGTGCTATATTTAGAACAGCAGCTAAGCAAGATACATTCAAGATCCTCTGATGCTGCACTCTGATGTTACACTGGTTCAGCACATCAATTCAGATAAGCAAGCCTGAGAGATTGTCCCTCTTTCCTTTCTCCCCTCCAGTGACTTAAAAGAAAGCATATGCCCCAGCAGATGTCCTAACCAGTGTATTTGTCCATATTGCATACTAGAAAGAATTCAAATTTATTTCATTTACAAATCATGTATTTCTGATACATTGTAATAAATTCTGTCTTTAAAAAGAGTATTTCCATGGATAATTTCTCATGAGACACAGGATTAAACAGTAAAGTCAGAATAAGGACAGTCTAAAAAATAAGATTCAAACATTTTCTAATACACTTGCTCAGTTTTATATAAGATATTATCATTTTTAATTTCTAAAAAGCATTTAACAGACTTATCTTGCTCATTATGACTTTTTAGTCAATCAATATTCTCAGTTCTCATATATTCAGAAAGGAAGTAAAGTCAATGGATTGAATTACCAACTTTCACGTGGCAGCATGGATGGAGAAATCTTCAGTAGCAAATGTTATCAGAAAAACAGGCATTTGTGAGTTTTATTTCAATTAATTAATTAAATAACTTCACTGCTCACTTAAGAGAGTGTTTTATTATGCCTCTGTTAATGGAACACATAAATATTTCATACATTGAGAAGCTTAATCACAGAACCTTTACTTTATATTTAAACCACACAAGTAAACAAGCTTTACATGATGTGATGCCTTGTTCTCTAGCTACATTTAATCTAAAAATTTGAAAAAAATTAGTTTCATAAAAATAACCAAATTTAGAGTATCCAGCATTATGAACACACACATGTACATACAAACATGAACCAAACCAGATGTATACTCTGTGCTCTCATCTACTCACCAAAAAGCTGACAAAACTGGCTCCAAAACTCATTAATGGGCTATGGTTTCTGTAAAGAAAACAGAAAATAGTTAGTATATTTGTACATATTTCCTGTCATAAAGATCAATATTGCATTTCTTGGGTTTAACTTATATGTTTGTAAATAAATCTTGGTGGGTTTTTTTGTATCAAAGAGATACAGAAAATTAAAAATCTGCCAGTTCTACTCCTCCCTTGTGATCTATCACTACAGCTTTGTCCTACCAGACAAATGTCAGCCTATTGTATTAAGAGATTCCCATTTCCACCGTTTCTATGAATTTAAGCTAATCCACCCAGATCTAAAAAACCCGCATCTACCACATGACAAAGTTGTTGTAAATGCAAGGTTCTTATAAGGTTTATGGTTTTATATACATTCAATTTCAGAATATGTATCTTACTACACTGTGTAAAATAGTTTTAAGATGCTTCACCTATTCTCTTTGCAAGGCTATTCCCAAAGGGTGAAATCAACAGCTAGATCAAAAAAAACACAGGCAACCAAAACCTTGGTAATATATATGGGAGAGGTTTCAAGCTTCAGTACAACTGTAGTCACACAGACCATGAGAGTACAGTAATGTCACACAGAAGGCACTTGAAAAAATTAAAATGTCAGAATGTCAGTGGTACCATGGATCCACACCATTCAATGGTGAGCTGCCAGGTTATATGAAAACACAAACTTCCCGGATTTAAGAAGTATCATTTATGCTACATATGTATATATAGTTACAGTACAGCACTTAATTTTTTTCCAACTTTATTCTGCAACCATTAGATTAAAGCAGAATTTTTAAAATACCACAAGCATTTGAAAAACAAAGAGAAAGAAGTATATTACTAAAACACAAATTTCCAGTAGTGAACCTGTATTATATAATACAAGAGTTTGGTTCATTTTTTTTAAAAAGAAGTAGTCAGCAATGTTTCACACACCCCCACCCCCCTTTTCTCACTTTGTGATTTAGCATAAATATTTAAAAGCAAAGACATGAACAAGAATAATACGAAAGAAAAACAGGGAAGATAAACAAGCAGAAAAACCTTCCCTTTTGATGCACATCGCTCAATTCTGGATATAACCTGTCATATGTTTTCATTATTTTTCAAAAGAAAATAGGTTGGGTACTTCCCCCTTTGTTGGCACATCACCAAAGAACAGCCGCCAGTAAATGTCTCTGCTGTTCAGTACCTGGACTGTTCTCTAGCAGCAGCTGTGTTTCACAGGGCAGTAGCAATCAGCAACACAAATTACACTCGCTGCAGCTGGCACTTCCAGCATGAACTCCTGCTGCAGAGGGCATGTGGCTCTCTCATAATCCCCTTCCCAACGCATGAGGCGTGTGGGACCCATGCGGCAGCCGGTCTTACCACCATACTCAACACAACCTTCACCACACATTTCAAGGTCACACCTCCTGCATTATCAACACCCAACTGATCTAAAACTGCAAAACAGATCAGGACAAGAAATTTTTACATATATGCCCTTAAGTATGAAGTTGCATTTACATCATACTTTCAAGGAAGCTCAGAAATAACCCAAATGTTTCATTTTTGAGTTTCCTGAGATCAACATACACAGAGAGAAAGCAGTTCTGGGGAGTTAAAAAATGTTAAAGTAATGTTAAAAAATGAAGCAGCTAGTTACAGATGAGAGCCAACTGGTCTTTACAGACTAGAAAATATACTGAAGCCCTTACTGCAAGCACTAAAAATTTCTGAAGTATTTTAATGTATATTTGTCTGAGTACAACTGAGTTTTTTTCCCCAAATACATATTTATCTTTTCAACTGATCTTTCAACACTGCTTCCACACTTGTATTCTTGACACTCACTTTGTTTCCAATTCCATCCCCCACAATCAAAGGCAAAACAGTGAAAAAATCAAGAGCCACATTGTTCTATTCTGAAATTATCAGTAGTTTTAATACAGGAGATAACTGTCGCAGATCAGTTCTTTTTAACTTTCAGTCACTCAATCTATAAAAAGCATTGCCATTACAGCACATATGGGCTGTAGCACAAAAGGACCCTGAAGCAAAAAAACATGAGGCATAATATTATACGATGTCTGGGAGATGCTTCTGTTGAGACCATGGGGTTTGGCAATCAAAACATGAAAACTTCACTGCAGGAGCTCCTCACACAGAGTTTGTGACATCACTAAACAAAACAAGAACACTTCTGCCATATTCCTAAGTAGTCGCTGTAGTCACTATAACTGCAGCTTTATGGAAGATCATTTAGTAAGGTTAATTTCAGTGTTTAAAATCCATTTTAAACAACAACCATGTTCTGTGCTCAGTCTTTGTGACTATTACGTTGAATTATAAATTCTTCAACAGCTTAGGGCTATCTTTTCCTTGAGAGCTAGGAAAAAAGTTTGCAATGGCACAGTCCTGTCCCAGTAAAAATTAAGGTGTGACTAATGATGACAGTAAATTTCTGAGAAAAATATAATTCCACAAAAATAACCCTTGGCTCAAGTTCCTTATAAGTGACCTTCAGCTTCAGACAGGATTTTACATCTTTTTTGACAGATACCAAAAAGTTAAGATACAAAAAAATGACCCAGCACTTGGGAAAATACTAGCAGCAAACCAATGGCCATATCAATGTTGGCAGGAGTTATGGAACTGAATACAAATTAACACTGGTACACTGCACTACCCAAGTTGTCCTTATGGCTTTGAAAGCAATAGCCTCCATTAAGTAAAGAAAAATCTCAAGACTTTTAATTAGCTCAAAGAAAAAAAAGAACCAGTCTCCGGACATATTTTGTAAAACACCGTTTGCCCCTCAGCTAGGAAAATAGGACTCAGAAGATATCTTTATTGTAAGAAATTGTGCTATTAACACCATTACTAAAAGATACCACAGTAAAAGGTTCTACGTATCAATATGTACCAATACAGTTGGCACATGTAACTACACTTAAATCAAAAACTTCAGAGCACTGAAGCAGAACTTTCTTTCGGGTGTATAAATCAGCGTTACGTGAGACATTGCTTCTCCCAGTAAACCCTGACTAACTGGACTCATATCATGGCATATCTTTAAGACAGCAATTCAATTTCAGAAGAAAGGTGTTTGCCATGCCCCATTTTCACACATGATGATAACATTCAAGAATTTTAAGCCTTGGTTTGATAATGTTGAGATAGTACAGCCCAATTTTACCATAAAAATAAATCAGAACTGAAGCACATAAAAACAAACAAACATACATCTCGGTTACTCCTCAGTATTTTCTTTTTTTTCTACAGCAATTTCCAAGACAGTATTCCCCTTCCAAATACATCAGCTTCTAAAGCTGCTTTCTAAAGCTACTTGAGCCTAGCTCAAGTTTAAATTTAGAGTAATGTAATTAACCTGCCAACATTTCCTCTCTGCTTTTCTAGGCATTACTACTTTAACCACAGTCCAATAAGAATTCCAGTCATCATACCAATAGTGACACTCAAGTTGAAACAAATTATTTTCCTTCAAAGTGGGAGAGTAAAGCATAATGGCACGTAAGTTCTCAGATAAATACAGAAGCAGCAACTAAATATTTTAAAACAAGAAGAAATATGTGTAAATATAAAGGTAAGGAATTTACTGCAACAACACAGAAATCCTTTGGCCATTATTCCATCACAGATTATTCTAAAATTTGTTCTAAAAATTATTTGTGAGACTACAAACATGACAGATCTACATAAGTATACATCTCATCCAATACTGGTATTGGATGAGTATTAAATACTCAAGGTAAATTAGGTTCACAGAAGCATTACGGTATTAAGACACACTGAAAACTGAATATGTCAGATCTTGGTTTAGTTTACATTTCATCAGCAGCCCAAATTTGTTTTGTTAAATTAAACCTTACCATACACTTCTGTTTTGACTAGAAATACACAACCAAATGGAAATTCAGAAATACAGAAATAATTCTGTAGCCCTGTTCCATCTAGTTTTTACTGACTTGTTTTGTCCTTCTGCAAATTAAGAGGGAATTGCTTTGCTCTAACTTAATATTTTACTAGAAACAGTAGATCAAAAAATGAGTGAAAAGTCTTTACAGTATTTGTATCTTTCACAGAGTTAATTTCTTCAGTGTTAAAATAAGATCTGCTTACTATCATACCTCTTCTGCCATCTCCACCAAACCTGACTTCTGAGTAATAAACTCAAATTTTAGTTTAGCTTTCTTCCATCTTCCCTTGTACCTTGTACCTTTCTTCCATCTTCCCTGCCACATACTGCCCCATATGGGGCAACCTCCCTCTACTCTTTCCACCACTTCTTTCGGTGACATACCTGTCTCTGTCAGGAAGACCACAAAAGCATCACACTCAATGTGATTATCTCCATGTACCCAGGCCTTGGAAGATTTAAACTGCAGAACACTTAAAATATTTTTTTTATCTACCCACATAACTGGAAGATTGGTGCTGGTTTTTGTGCATCGCTATTGCTATAACATACTCTGCCTAGCCTTGAGCAACGAAATCTTAACTTGCCGAGATATGCATTTATTACACATTTAGAATACCACTACTAAAGATCACTTCCCTTGTAAATAACTCTCCTTTCTATATATCCATCTAGCATCTGCTCCTCTGCCTATAGCTGCAATAAACAAAAGCACACAGGGCTGCTACCAGGGCACTCATGATTTATTCTCACGCTGCCAATCCAGATGCTATCATCCTTCTCCCAACCAACTGACGTCAGTTCCCGCTCTGCTGTCCTTATCTCTAGAGAAGCTACTGAAGCATCTACTAAATCACTTAATTCTTGCACTTAAGGTTCCTTTGCTGAGCTACATAAGCAAGAATTTTAACAGTGATTAGACAGCCCATACATGGGCTATAATCTACCTACTGATCAATGCTGGCTTAATGTCACCTTGTCTCAACTTGTATTTGGGTCAAAAGTATTTTGAGCCAGAGTCAGCATTTTAAATTGGTAATGTGAGGTTCAAACAACTATCCACAAGGGAATTTCTGGTCCGTTGCTGAAGCTCGTA